GGAAAAGAAGGAAAAAACAGATTTGAAGTGGTTGACAGGGGATGTTACCAGAGTTGCGGGGATTTTTTTTTTTTTTGGGGGGGGGGAAATAGCTGCGGGGGATCGCTTGCCTGGCTGGGCCAAAATGAATTTAAAAAAGAAGTGGACCCGTGGCCGCTCAGCTCGCCGCCCTGAGGTCGGCAACGTGGAAGGAAACAGGGACAAAAAAAAAAGGCCAATCTCTTTAACTGCTCCCTCTCTCTTTTAAACAACATAGTTTCTTTATATTGCACAATTTCCAAAAAGGGGCCGGGGATCCCCACAATTCGACCCGGAGAAACCATACTAACAGCCCACGAATAGACTGGAGCTGTTCTCCCTAAAAAAAAAAAAAAAAAAAAAAAAAAAAAAAGAAGGCAGCTTAGCTTATGCTTCACAGAAAAGGGGTTAAATATAGGAACACATCGGGTCCCTTGGACCTCTGTCCTGCAGTCCCTCCCTGAGCACCCAAACAAACAAACAAAAAAAAAAACAGCCTTCACGGCCCAAAGAAAAAGCCAAACAACCAGCAAAGTGCTATTTTCCTAACAATCGAACAAGCAGCAAAACACCCCAAGGCCTGCAACACCCCATGAACCCGAAAGATATCGCCTACTGCTGCACCTCTTTCTTCTTCTGTCCCCTTATTGTACCTCTCGTGCCCCTATACTGTTCCCACTGGCAGGGGCTGTGTTTTCCAAAAAAAAAAAAAAAAAAAAAAAAAAAAAAAAAAAAAAAAAAACTGTTCCTATCTCCGATCACCACCTAACGCGGTGGTTATGATGTGTGACACTCCCTCCTCCTCAGGCTTCTGCTGCTCTCTGCCTGTCTCCTGCGAGCCACCAGGCGATCCCATATCCGAGTGCTCAGGATGTCTCTCTTGTTCCTCATTGGTCCCTAAAGAACCACTGATCCGGCTCTATTTTGTCCCCTACAATCTTCGCCATCTGTCCACTTCGGCACCATGTCTCCTTGAACCTGGTCAGACCTGACAACCGATACCTTGACTCAGTCGCAATCCTCCGCCAGTCCGCTATAATTGCCCTGTGTAACGGCTGCGGCCCGGGGAATGTTCTTCTCACCTGTTTGTTTGGCCACCCCTTACCTTTGAATACCCTGGCGTTCCTTTCCTGTCATACGACTGGAAAACCCACCGCCCTTGCCCCCTGTGCCATGTAACCCCATCCCTTTGTCGGACTGTAACCTTTGTGGACCCCCCCCAATAAGCACCATTCCTTAGTCCAAGGAAATACTCCTCCTGTGCACCTTCCCCAGAATCTCCTCCACCATTCCCAGATCCTGCTCGAGGCAGGGCAGTCCTACCAGAGGTGGACTGTGGATTCGAATGGCCATTCACACCTTACGCACTTCAGAATCTGATCTAATTTCATCCCATGCTCGAGGGGGTCGCCATCAGCGAGACTAGCCACATGATGGAAGCTTGCCGCTGGCACGGGATCAATTTCTCTCGTTTTTTTTTTTTTTTTTTTTTTTTCAAGTCCAGGGTGTTGTAGAGGCCAGTCACTGAGTCCACAGTGATCACCTGGAGGTGTGAGCCGCGGGTGTCCTGGAATATGAGACCACCTCCCATCCCATCCTCACGTCAATACTCCTAGCGCACCCCCTATCCCACTATCCTACCTCAGTGTGACCAGCACTCAGGACCATTCCCAGCATTTTTTGAGAGCCTTACCGATCTGTGTTGAATTCATCGGCAGCAACTGAGCCCACCTTATCCTTGCAACGACCTCTGGATGCTTTGCTGGGATGATACTTTTATAGCCAATTCTTTGAGTGTAGTTAAATAGGCAGACGTTTTCTCCTTTCCTCCCCAGCGCTTTCCATTCCCATTGATTCGGATCTAGTTTCAAATTTGAGACTGGTTTCCCATTAGCTACCAACGCCATGGTTTGTTCCCTTCCCTCCTGCCCCGTAGTTATCGCTCGTGTTTGCGACAAAGCTGAGCCCAGCCTAGGCTGGGTGTCCATTTCTAGAGACTTGAGCTGACCTGACGCAGAGTAGTCCCACTTCCGGAACACTCGGTTCCCGTCTGCTTGTATCAGCTTAAGATCCCGGAGGTTACAGGTCCCTTCTTCGTGTTGAGTGTACCACGTACCCGGCGGGTCAATTGCTTCTGGGGAAAGAATCGCTTTCCCTTCCTCTGGTACGACTTCTATTACTGCAGCTAGCTTCTCCTCCACGTCTTGTAGTAACCCCAGTTTCCCTTTCAATTCCTCTGCTGTTATCCAGTCTTCTGTGAAGCCATCCCAGATGTCTCTAAGTCTTAGCACACCTTTCTCTATCCACGCCCTACCGAAGCTCCAAGCTTGAGAGTCCGCCTTGACCCAGGATCCATTCCTTGTTCTTACCCTTGGATTCTCGAAGATCAGTTGAACCAACACTTCAACCTTCGTAGTTGGGGTTGCCCAAACGTTGGGGCACAACTTTCTCCATGCCTGAATAATTGATGCCGAGAGGGGGGACTTGACTCTCCTGCGCTGATATGAAAAAAAAAATAGGCATGTCCATTTGTCTTCCACTCTTGATAGGTTCCATTCGCTGGCCAGGGTAGATTCTGCCAGACATACCCAGTGCGGTACAAGATCCTCCAAACAAGCGCGTACAACCCATTTGATAAGCATTGCTTTGTTCTGTTTGTTCGGGTCCACCATTCCCAACCCTCCTTCCTCTCTAGGTCGACATAGCATCTCCCATGCCACCTTTGAGATGACGGCTTCCTGATCGCCCGCAAACGGCTTTCAGATGAACCTTGCAGTGCGTCTCCCTATTATCTTGTATGTATGGTCACCAGTTTTCCTCACCGCGCCCACAAACCAAAGTAGTGGGAACAATGCTCCGTTCAATACTAATGATCTCCCAAATATAGACAAGTGAGGGGCTCTACCCCACGTGGTCAACCGATGGAGGGCTTTCTGGAGTAGGAGATCATC